ATGTACTATATATTATATAGTTAGTTTCCTCAAATGATTGTGGTGGCTGAAGATTAATCTATGGGGGCTAAGACCACCATTGGCCACACTCTGACTCCTCCATTGTACCTGCTGGTGGATAAAATATATACCTGTACTCACCAGGATCCATTATTCTGTTCTGCCTCAGAGAAGAAAAAACAAACAAACAAACAAACAAAAACAGTGTAACTCCTCACCATTTGAATACATTCACCAAAAACATTAAGGTTTACTTTCATTCTTTGTTCAATTCCAGTCTAGAAAAACACTCTCCTCCAAAATGACAGACATTCACTATTCAACCCCTCAGAGATGGGTACAGCTTATTTATTACCTGCTGAAAAATAACTTTTATTTTGTTGTAAAGTTTGTTCACCTAAAATCATTGAGTTAAAACTAAATGTTCTTCCTCATGTGAGCTAAACTCTTCAGATTCATGTCTGAGTCGTCTTCTTGAGGGTGTTTTTGTGAATAGGTTATGTAAGAACGTAGTTTAAGTCGTGTCAAGTCTTTATGAAACACATTTTTAGTCAGATTTGGTTTTTTAATTTAGAGAAGACTGAACTTTACTGTTTTTATTCTTTTTTTGCCTTCAGTGAAACACACCATCCTCCATCTTTAAAACTGACATTTGGAACAGTAGATGACTTTCTGTGGTTTCTGAGTGTGTATCACTGCCTGACAGAGCATATGACTTCGCTCAAAGTGTTGTCCTGTTGTGTATTTGTGTGTTTGTTCACACAAATCCAGGCTAAACAGACAAATGACAAAGAAAATAACAACAAACACGTTTTTATTTGCTCCGCTCACGTGTTTATTGTGTAATTTTATCTGATCTTTTCAGATGTGTGCTTGATTTAACACAACTATAATAACCGTGTTTTCACCAGTTTAGCGTCTGTTGCCATGGTAACAAGTAGTTTGGGGCTGAAGGGCGGGGCTTATCAGGATGAGGACGGTCACACATTTGGCACAGAGAGAGGCAAATGTAGCTTTTTGTTGAGCTCAGAGCAGCTGTAGCCCACGATGGGGGGAATGCAGATGAAATGGTAAGACGAGGACCGGAGACTTTACTCTGAAGGACAGATTAAGACTCTTAACGAGTGTTTGTAGCCCGTTATCTCATGTGATTTTAGTTTTTCTCCAGATCCTCTCCTCCTGCTCTAACAGTTCATTTCCTTTATTGAAGCGGAAATACAACGATTACGACTTAAGTTGCATATAAATACAAGAAATTATTATTATTTTTTATATATTGTCACTTTTATTGCTGTTTGTGTTGTTTTGTTGTTGGTTGTTGATGGTTTCGGAGACGTGTCAGGACTCGACAGAACAGAAAACCCAGATCAGCCTGAAATGGAGTAGATGAGCAATAAATTGTTGGCTGCGACTCCAATTTACACATTTCATTTATTCTTTCTTTGACAGAACTAACTGGAATAAGATTTAAAAAAAACAACAGTTGCATTTTGCCACATTTCTAGTTGTGGATAATTTTCAGATTTCATAGTTTGACTTTTCCTTCCTTTAGGTTCAGTCTTAACGTTAGTTTCTGTTTGGCAACAGGAAAATGTTCTGTTCTAAGTCTGCTGCTATTATTTTGCTGGAGAATCATCTGAAACACACACGCAGCATATGTATTTACTAAACCGTATTTAATCGACATTTACATACTTTTACGCGTGGCTTTTTTCGTATGTATAGCCCACTATGGCAGATTAGCATTAGCTTACCCTCACGTCGTCTAGCTCTCATCCTTGTCTTCTATTTCATACTGTTTTATGGCTTTCCACACTCTCCTGTACTTCTCCAGAGTCTTTCGCCTCGCTGCCCGCAGCCTTTTCTGGGTCTCTTCTCTTTGACGTCTTGCAAAAAGCCACAGACTGAGCAGAATGTTCAGCAAAGCTACAATATCCTCCATTTTTGTTGTGCATCTTTTCAGGGTTTTCTTCTTCTAATATGTTTAACAGTGGCTAGTAAATAGCTTAATAGAGCATTACTGCCACCAGCTGGTAAGGCGGGTGGTGTCAATTTTTGGACTCTGAACCCGCCCACTAGAGCCGTTACTGAAGTGTAATGGAAAACCACATGTACCGTGCTGAGCAGAGTTGAGCCAAGTCGAATCGTGCTGTAAAGGCGCTAGTGGAAAAGAAGCATTATAACTGAACCAGTAAGGGTTTCATCAGTCAATTCTAACAGCTGCAGCTGTGCTCCAGTCTGCAGTGGACCAGAACAGGTCCAACAGACCCTGCTCCGTCCTCTCCGCTCCACCCTTCAGATCTCTGTGAGAATCCGTTTAATTTATTTAGACTTGAGGAAGAATCTTTTTAAACTGCGTTCTTCAGAAGTGTTCCTTCAGGTTCTGAAAGCTGCCGGGCTCACTGCAGAACATAACTTTACTGAGGTTTAAAGAGTTTAGAACTGATTTTATTAAATGAGTTCATTAATGAGTGTTGTGTCCTTTACGAGCCTCAGCTCCGTCAGTCCTCTGTCATCACCAAGATCCCAGCCGAGCAGCCACTCAGACGGGCCGCAGCTGGACCGGCACCATCAGGAGAGTGCCGGTACGTTCTGTCAAACCTCTCCGAAACACTGAGCTCATTTGGCTCGTGTAACCCTTGATCTGTGTGCAGCAGAGGAGGCAGCCTGGGAGGAGTGTCTCAGTGAAACTCTGGAGAACGAGGTGCAGGAGGCCCGGAAGATGGTGTCCGCTCTGCAGGTGAGTCTGTCCTCAGGTGGTTTCAGATCTTCTGTTAAACTTGTCTCTCCTGGACCTCCAAGCTAAAGACTGGATTTAAACAGGAACGTTCTGTTAGCTTTGTCATGCCTGCTGCAATAATAAAACAACATCAGTGTTAAAGTCCAGAAAACACCCCTGAAGTGACGGAGATGTTGGGTTGGTCCGGAACAGTGATGGAGTCAGTGAGATATTTATGTACCGTGGCATCTTCGTAGCAGCTGCTATAATCTGTTGATTTTTATTCAGTCTTTATGAATTTAATAAACAATTAAAGCTAGCTCATGTAATCAAACTGAAGAGGTTTTGTTATAAAGCCGAAGAATACTACGTGAAAAATACCTGAACAGACTTTGAACTTGAAGTTAGCGTTTCCTTTTTATACACCCGTTAATGGATTCTGGTGTAGTCACTGTCCATATGTCCGCCCATAACTTCTGATCCCCACAAGATAATTTAACAATACTTCATACACATACAGTGTCTTGCGAAAGTATTCGGCCCCTTGAACTTTTCAACCTTTTGCCACATTTCAGGCTTCAAACATAAAGATATAAAATTTAAATTTTTTGTGAAGAATCAACAAGTGAGACACAATCGTGAAGTGGAATGAAATTTATTGGATGTGTCAAAACTTTTTTAACAAATAAAAAACGTTGGTTACGTACTGTAACCCAAGATTCTATGAGTATAGGCGTAGCCCTTTAAGAGCTGTCGCTTAGTGGGTTTATCCTGATATGCGGAGCATTACACTGAAAAATTTAGTCCACGCCCACCTGCTGTGTGGGCCCCACCCGGTCCATATAAATTACGTTAAGAGCGGGAAATCGGCTCCCAAAAATAGCTTTTTCTTCAGCCATTTAGGAGCCAGTGAGGCCCGACGCTTAAAGAGCTACGCTTATACTCATAGAATCTGGGGTTACAGTACGTAACCAACGTTCTATTTCGTATAAGCTTCGCCCTTTAAGAGCTGTCGCTTAGTGGGTTAAGGGCAAAGCGGATGTTGTCCTCGCCTCACTGGGTCCATTCGAACACCGTATGAAGCAGAAGCTTGCCCAAAAACGTCTAGTCACTCAGCTTCCCATGTGCGTAATTACGCATTGTGTAATTATGTGTGCCATGCACAGACGCATGTTGTGTAACTATGCATTCTGAGTACATGAACGTCCCGGAAAACTTCATCGGGGAGGGAAGAAAGCTGAAAAGAGCCATGAACCAACCGGTTTACGGCTGAACCGTATGAACAGATTAATAATAACAGGAGAGCTGATTACTAATCAAATGAACTGATTGGTAACAATAGTTGTGAACTGATTAGTGACAATAGAACCAAAATAACAATGGTAAATGGTAAATGGAGCTTACTTCTATAGCGCCTTCCAGCCCCCTATGAGGGGCCCCAAGGCGCTTTACAGTACCAGCCATCCACCCATTCACACGCACATTCATACACCGGTGGCGGTAGGCTGCCATGCAAGGCGCCATCCAGTCCCACCGGGAGCAACTCGGGGTTAAGTGTCTTGCCCAGGGACACAACGGCACATGGTGTGGGAAGTCGGGATTCGAACCTCCAACCTTCCGATCAGAGGTCGGCTGCCATTACCACTGCACCACGGCCGCCCACAATCACAACTTGTGACTGATAACATCTCACACTGCATGCAGACAGATGTGAGAAAAACGGAGTTCCATGAAACAACAATATTCATTCTGTTAGAGCACTAAGGACAGAATGTGTCATGGAACAAGCCGTCACATCACCTAGATAAAAGCGAATAAATGAGCAGGGTGTTGACCACGCAGCCATAGTGCAAAATGTCCTGCATTGACATACCATTATGCAAAGCAGTCGAAGATGCGATACCCCTGGTCGAGTGTGCTCTGAGGTTGACAGGAGGCTCTAATTCTGATGCTCTGTAGGCTTCAGAAATGGCCTCACACAGCCAGTGTGACAAGCGCTGGGTGGATAACGGGCGACCTGCAGATGCATCTCTATAATGCACAAACAAATGTTGACGCATTGCAGCTGTGCGCGCTATGTAACACGTCAACGCCCGCACAGGACAGAGGAGATGAAAAGACACTACTTCTTCTGATCTGTGTGAAAGGGGGGGGGGGGGGGAACGACCCCTCCAACGATATCACTCTTGATTTTAAAAAGCTCGTGATGTTTTAGGCATAAAAGCTGGATTGGTCTTAAATCAGCTGAGCTGTCGTCAGCCTGAATTCTGAGACATGACGGAGCGACAGCGAGGGCAGATAAATCACTCACTCTCTTAGCGGATGTTAAAGCCAGCAGCAGGGCTGTTTAAAGAAACAAGAATTTAAGTGGGAACCTGATCCAAAGACTCAAATGGAGCTTTGATCAGGACCTGCAGGACCAGTATTAAATCCCACTGTGGAACAAGTGGGTGTGAAACAGGCCTGCGTCTCTGTACACCTTTTAGAAAACGCTTCATCAGTGGATGATTAAAAACCTGTCCTGTCTCCGAAACCTTCTTGGCAGGAAGAGATGGCTGCAGCTTACGTTTTAATCGTGCTGGATGCCAAATTTCTGTCCATCAGCTGCTGCAGAAAGGACAGCATGCCACCTAATGAACGTGAGGTGGCCTCTACACCCTTCTCTATACACCAGCGCTGAAAAGCTGTCCGCTTGATGTGTACATCGCTGTGGTAGATGCAGCACGTGAAACCTGAATTGTGCGCACTACATCCTGTGGGGGACCCATCCTCTCTAAGCGGATCCATACAGCGGCCAGACCCACAGGTGCTGGCCTATTTCTGGGTAACTCCTGATCGCTCCTCCTGCCTGGAGGAGAGCGTCCTCCCTCCACGGCAGTTCCACGGGCACCCCGACAGCAGGCGTTGCAGGACTGGGAACCATGGTGCGCTCACACGTTCGGGGCCCACCAGGAGAGCTGTCAATCCCTCCTCCTGAACTCGGTTCAAGAACTGTAAAATCAGAGGAGGTGGAGGAAAACGCATACAGAAGCATTTTGGGCCATGGGCTGTGGGCAAACGCATCCACCCCCAGCGGTGGTTCGTCTCGTGGGCTCAGAGAAAACCATAATTGACACTGAGCATTTTCTCTTGTCACAAACAGGCCCACAGCAGCTATATCAATCTGAGTCAAAATGCTCCATCAGAGGATGATTAAAGGTTGTTCTGTCTCCGACAACTTTGAGACAAGAAGAAAACACGGCTGCAGCATACGATAGTCGTGCTAGACCCCAGATTTCTGTCCCTCGACTGCTGCAGAAAAGGACAGCATGTCGTCCAGTGGACATGAAGTGGCCTCTAAGCCTTTCTCTGTACAGCAGCGAACTGACCACTTGATGTGAACAGCGCTGTGGTGGTTGCAGCACGTGACTCCTGAATCGTACGCACTACATCTTGAGAGAGATCCATCTCCTCAAAAAGATCCGCACAGCGGCCAGACCACAGGTGCTGGCCTATTCTGATTAACTCCCGATCGTTCCTCATGCCTGGAGGAGAACGTCCTCCCTCCACGGCAGGTTCCATGAGCGCCCTGATAACAAATGTCGTAGGCCTGGGAACCATGATGCGTTCACGCACTTGGGGCAGAGGAGCTGTCAGTTGTCAGCTGTCAGCTGAGCTCGGTTCAGAAAACCGTGATATCAGAGGGAGAGAGGAAGGTGAAAAAGCATTACGACCACAGGCAGCAGGCACGTCCACCCAGCAGTGGATCGTCCCGTGGCTCCACGATAATTATAATTGACATTGAGCGTTCTCTCATGTTGCTACACGTCCACAGGCGCTGGCAGGATTTCTGCCGTGTCTGAGCCATAGCTGTGGGTGGAAGGTCCCAGGTCCCCGTGCCGCAAAGGACCGTCTTTGGACATCACATCCGCCCCTTGTTCGTAATACATGAGATGTACCCTACTCGAATGGAGAGCAGATTGGGTGTGCCCCACACAGCATCTGTCTCACAATGTGGCACATGGGTTGAGCGCATACATCTCCTGCCAGTATGTATGCAACAGTCACTTGCTGTCTGTGTGAATCAAAAAACCCTGATGATTCTGCAGCTCAAGGTCAGTGTTGAGTCACATTCAAAGAACCCGTGCGACACTCCAAAAACATTTAAATGAGCTGCTGTGTGGAGAACCACAGCGCCCCCACAGCTTGTTAAATGTGTGTGCCTCTGTGAGAAACTGACATGTGTGACTTAGGTCTGCTGATGGAAAACAGCTGATATCACTCAACCGGTTCACGTGAGTTGCACTGCTGCCACCTGTCTGTACAAACTGCTCAGCAGCAGCAGGTGTCCAGATAAAGCAGAATTAAAGCGGCTCGGGCGCATAATGGGGTGTTGTTTCTCACAGTTCAGAAATTGACAATCTAGAATAAATCTCATCTTTCCAGTTCGTTGGGACCAGGAAGTGATGAGAGAGGGGTCTTGCGTTTTCCTCTCCTTTTGAGACTCTAGAACAGACCTGGGCATTGTACGGCCCCAGGGCCACATGCGGCCCTTTGGTTGACTCTCACCGGCCCCCATAAGGGGAATTACAAAATACATATGTAAACAAATGAAGTTAACCAAATCCAGATATAGATCCTCTCTCACTGATAGATGTCAGCTTTGCTTCACATCTCCACCTCAGACCTTGAACCTGACTTTAACATTTCCGTTAAAGCCCAACAGAGACTAAACTTCTCTCACTAAACAAGAAAAAAGAACTGGTAAACACCAAATGAGATGTTTAGACTACAAATGTAGGCACTTGAAGAACCGGGACTCGAAATCACAGTTCAGTGATGATCACTATTATATGATGTTTCATAATATTTGGAGTACAAAGACAATATTGTGATATATTTACAAAGCTAAGAACTTTTTCCAGCAGTATATAAAACTCAAAATGAGTTTTGGGGTGAATGTGACTGAAAATGATCACTAATATAACGTCACAAATGGTAAAAATGTTAACAGTTTACCATTGTATTGGGAAATTTAATTG